CTTAATAAGAATGAAAGGGCTATACAGTGCTCCTAGGCTTTTCAGTACAGGTTAGTTTCAATTTCAGAAGTAACCAAAATCGTTTGCTACGTATTCTTCGATATTGTGCCATCCACGGTTCCGAATTGGCTACGTCAACATTAGTTATCAATGACCTGGATCAATAACCAGCTGCTGCTGCTTTTGGGGGACAAAGGTCATGCCAACAACTGGCGGCTGTAATGGCGCACGCAGATCCCTCAACCACAGGATAATCCGGAATGATAGAGAACGCTGGTGGATTTCGAAGGCCCAGGAGATGGCGAAGGCTTTCGCTTCAGGCAAAAGCCGCGCTCTGTTTCAACTGATTCGGTCAACCGGTCAAATGATGTCAGGTTTCAGTAAGACAATATGCGAAAAAGACGGAACAGCAATTCACTCCCCCAATCGCCGCATTGAGCGGTGAGATAGGCACTTCAAAGGGCAATTCAACACAATCACTGAAAGGACCAAGCTTCCCTAAACGGAACATCGACACCAACCCACCTTCAGCAACCGAAATCCAGCGTGAGATTTCAATCCCGAAGCGCGACAAGGCATCTGGTCCGGTTGGTCTGCACCCCGCGCCCTTCAAAGGAGGTGGTGAGGTATCACCACTATACTGCAGAAGATTTGGAACGATGACAATACCAGTCGAATGGAGCTGCTCAACCGTCTACCCAGTTTTCGAAAAGGGAGCAAGAAAGTCATGCGAAAACCATCGTGATATCAGCCTGGTATCTGTTGAATATAGTTCGCTCTGTGGCCTTATTTTGAGCAGGCTGATTGATTACCGCGAGAGATTCGTGAGAATCAAGCTGGGTTTCGCCCTAGCCGAGGATGTATCGAACATACCATTACCTTGAGATCAATTCATGAACAGCGCCACACCCCTAGTCGCCCCATGTTAGTCGTTTTTCCGGATTTGAAAGCTGCTTTTGATCCTGCCGATCGTTAGCAACTTTGGCAGTGTCGGGCCATCAAAGGTGCTATGGTGCGATCCATACTGCTTTATAGGTCATAGACGCGCGTAATGCTGACTGAAAGCGAGGCGCCAACTGAGCCCACACGATTGCATGATGAGAGCCAAGTTGCATACCCAAGAAAGGACGAGAATGCTTAACTAAAACTCTCCATCGATAGCTGGTAGATACATGGTCCAATTGAGTTCCTCGCTTTCTCGTAGTAGGTGGCGTCGAAGTAACTCGCTATGAGCGTTTGAGGTTTATATTGGCAAGGAACTGAGGATGATCCGCACACAACCGAAGAATTCACTCTCCGTCAGCCGTACGCTCAGCGTCGACTCCAAATCTACCACCTAACTATGCTTCTTGTGGGGTCTTGTATGCGTGTTTCGGAGACTCAACGTACATCGATAGAGAGGACAACCAAGGTTTCAGAAAAGAATGCCTGTTACCAAATTTAACGTTGAGTACGGACATTAAATGCTGCAACGTGGATCATATTTTCTGAGGTTCTTAATTCATTATTTTTGTTTATTTTTCTGGGTGAAGATTTAGACCGGTTTTGTTTGAGGTAGCACACCCTGGCCCTTTGACTCAAAAGTCCGAACCACGAGACAGTGGTTGTTAGGATTTTTAGGGACCTTTTCCGTAGCCAATGACCCAATAGTCTGACCCAGTTCGTTCTGGGGGGCTGGCCTGGCCCGAGGGCGCAGGGAGTAAGACATTACTGTCCCACTCCTGATGTAGCTGCTCACAGCAGGTGCCTTTTGAGCAGCACTGGGCTGTTTGGTTAAAAAGTATTACGACCATATTGAATAATCTGCCGGCGGTCACGGTCAGCTGTTGGGCGATCTGAGTGTGCGGTTTTTAGGGCCGACCTTTTCTATCCCCTCCTTCCTCAGGGAAAGGCAGCATCGCTGCTTTCATAAATTGGAACATGCTGGTCGCCTGTGGGAAACGCCTTACCGCCTTCACACTCCTATCGCATAGAACAGTACGACTTCACCTCCTGACCGCTTTGTAATATAATTACTCGCATTACGGGGACTCGCTGTTCTTCGCCGAGCTTCCTGACATGGTTTACCCTTTAGGGACTGGGTTTCAGCTAATATATCCCGCAGGATCGTTGCAGCGCAGAAGCCCGACCACCAGGAAAAGGTGACAGCTTTGGGTCGGTAAGTGCGAAGCGCATACCAATTGGTGTGGCAGAATTATTTAGTTTATTTAAAATGGCTTGAACTTTTGAAGGACCTAAACCAAAAATAAGACCGTCCGCATAAAGTGTCTGTGAGCGAACGACCCGGGGGTGCTTTTCCCCCGGGGTTTCAAGCGGGATTCCGATTAAAAAAAGTTGAACAGGAATAGTGAGACCGGGGGTACTTTCCCCCGGGGTTTCAAGCGGGATTCCGATTAAAAAAAGTTGAACAGGAATAGTGAGAGGAAGAAGCTTTGTCTCACACCAATGAATATGGCGAACTCGGACAACAGCTTGCCCCTTACCCGTACGTGCATGCAGTATTCTCACGGAGGATATAAATTAAGAAGGAACATATTTGATCAGCAGGCGTATCCAAGTTTCCGGATGGCCGATGGTCATAAAACAGCCCTTAGACGAAGGAAAAAAACCACCGTGGGACATTCGGAATAGTTGCGTTGTTCTAGAGACTCAAGTTGACGAGAAGCAAACTTCCACCCAAGTTCACTACCCCCAATGGTGTAGGAAGAACAGTTCTCACCATTCGTCCCCAACTTTCTCACTGACTGGCTTTTGAGCCTTCTTTTACCTGGATCGAAATGCGCCCGGGGCGTTTGCTCACAGAAATCCTTTCAGGTCCTTTGGAGATCCACTGTCTGAAATCCTCTTCAGAATTTTGTCCTTTACACTTGCGGAGTGTAAACTGCTGCTATAAAACTGGGTGGGGTCAAACCCAAACCTCTTTCTTATAGGCTGTTAAGTTGTCGCGGTAGATAAATTTGTTTACTTAGGGAGCTGTATGAATTCCGTTGTACTTAATTCAAGCTGGAACGCTTCTGGAATTGGGAAGGTCAGGACAACTTTTGCCACCTGTCGCATCGAAGTGACATCATTCTTCCCGTCAAGGGTAGAGTATGCATTGCTTTATGGATCAGAACCATATCCGAATGTGAAGTACAGTCGGCCACAGGCAAGCTGCGGGCTGGGGACTGCAACCTGGGTTCCTGCTCTGTTGTGCATCTGAACGGGTACGATCAACGACTATACACAACTTGGGGACGGGCACACGATTCCCCAGCTATGATGCGAACCGAAGCATTCTTAGCACAGAAAAAGAAGCTTTTACTGCCTCAATCAAAGGCAGCACAGCGAACTACAGCGGGAGCACCGTCGAGCACATCGTCCAGGTATGCGGCTACACTTGGAATACCAGAAAGGCTAGCGTCCATCAACTGCTGGAACACAGCAAGGGCTGTCCTAACCCGAAATGGTAGGCGATCGTATTCGTACAGACACCTTGGTAGTTCGGCGCAATTTCGGTCTGCAAATATGCGTTAGCCAGGTCAAGTTTGGCGAAACAACTGTCACCGTTCATAATGGTGAATAAGTCATCGGGCACTGGCAGTGTGTAATTGTGCTGTTAGAGAGATGCGTTGAGGCCGGTTGGGAAGTCAGCACAAATTGGGATTGACCCATTTGGCTTCTTAACCATGACAAGTGGGCAGCCCTTGCGGAGTACGTCACTGAAGAGAGGACACCTTGTTGCTCGAGGCGCTGGTGTTGTGCGTCGACCTGTGGTAAGGAGGCATATGGAACTAGTCTCTTGGGGTAAAAAATGGAGTATCTCCCGGTCGAAGTCGAAGTGTTACTTGCGTGGTGGAACAGTGACCGAGGCCAGGCTCGAAAGCCGAATGATATCGCCGGACTGACCTGAAGCAGCGACGAAAGAACCAACCTCATTGCAGATGGAACCGATTGGGATATCTGCCAAACTAAAATGGTCGAACCAGTCAAGACCGAAAAAATTCAGTTTGGCAGATGTCACGTAGCACGACGTAGTGAACGTCGTTCCCTTGAATGAGACGCAGCACTGCAAGTCTCCGGAAAGCAGCAACTTATCACCATGGGCACTGATGGCATTTCTGGAGGTCGCCCAAGCGTGTGCCAAGGCTTCTTCGATGTAACAGTTATGTCCGAAGTAGTGTCCAACTGCAATCGAACCGGACGTCCATTAACCAGGACATTGAAGAATTTCCGGTGAGATGGAGCACTAACTTGAAACCTTGCCAGCAGATCCAAGGCGGAGCTCACCGGCTTGGATCTCGAGAGGCGTGGTTGCTGCTTGGAAGCGCCGTGGAATGTACTGAATGAGCGCGACGTTATCCGTCTTTGTGGCCCACGGTCTTGCATCGTCGACACCGGTGCTGTTTGTACGGCCACAGTATGACAAGGTTTCAAGCTCCACAGTCCCAGCACGGTGATGAGGACTTCTTTTTAGCGTTCTGTTGACTGGATTGGGTAGTTCCGGAGCGCGGCGGATCAGAGGAGGACGGGCCAGAGATGGGAGCACCACAGAGTTTGGAGGCCTGGTGAACCGCATGAACTTCGGAATCGCCTTGACCACCACGTTGGACCAAGTTATGTCATGCTGGAGGTTGGTCGACCGTTGGTACTCGTCGTCATTTGTGCTTAGTGTCAGCGAACGGTATTGCTCAAGACGGTTGAGCAAACGCGTCCATATGTCTGCGATTTTCGGGGGAATGGTGGTTGCATATGAAAATGGGAAATTTGAATTGGTCAGTTGTGAGCGAGTTAAATTCAAAGCATCCAGCGTCCACACTAACCATGCCAACGCGCGTCAAAAAGCCGTCTGACTCGTTCATATCCAACTTTAGGCAGCAGCTCCGCTTATTAAACAGCGAAGATCGCTCCCCAAAAGTATGTCATCAAAAGACCTGTCGCGTGGGTTCTCCGGTAGAATCCGGTTGTAGTACTTGTCCAGCTCTGACGGGCCAAGTTTTAGTGGGTTGGTACCATGTACAATGACAACAGTGGAAGACTGTTCCACTTTTATGCATTCAACTGTAACACCCTTTCGGTGCCTAACTGCCATGTTACCAGAAGGAAGCACGAGGGCAAAGACACTTCCAGGTTGCCCAAGCGTAGACAGGGGAAGTCGAGAGGCAGAGGTACGGCAGTGAAGCATCGGTGTTGAACACTGATGTCATGCTGTCGATGATGATGATGAGGTCTGATTCGAACCACAGACTTTCCGGTCAGTAAATCTGCGCTCTAACCACTGGGCCTTTAACACAACGCACGTCGGATTGTCTGTCTAAGACTGTCTGTTTTGAAACCAACTGTGGACATGCACTGTAATACGCTCTTCTCAAGCAAAGCTTCTGCGAGGCTTCTGATCATTCTGGAGTTATACATCAGTTCTTGCGCTTGATTGCAAGCTACAACTAAGGATATTCGAAACACCTCAAATTTTGCGGTAGCTGCCGCTCGATGTGATTGTTCCCACCATTACTTCCTATTCCCAGTTGTTTCTCATTTTTCAGGCGATCCCTCATCGTGCCAATGCGGACAGCCTACGAAACGTCTTTCTGAAGGTACGGTATTTGTTCGCGACATGTATATTTTCTGGTTTCATCGTTCAACAAATATCGGCTGGTCTAAAAGATAAAATAGGCTTTCACTCATAGGATCTTTTTTGTATTGTGACCCCACAACTTTACTAGAACACCAGTGAGTTATTGTTGGGTTGCCCGAACCTAGACAGACGACTGCAGTGGCCAACTGAATTACTGCTGGTGTTGGGTGACTTTGCTGTATTTCCTGTGTCCAAATCTGACAGTTGAGAAATAAACGCAGATCATTAGTTTCAGCCTGTAGCCCATTAGAATTACATCAAAATGCGTTTCGTCAGACACAATGCGTTTACGACTTGTAGAAGGCTTTTAGCTCTGATAGCAAACCTATTTAATCAAGGTGCTGTCACGTATGTCTGGGAATTTAGTGGTTTTACTGTAAGAAAAGTTTCTTGAGAAATTCCGCGCAAAAAAACAGTTCTGGAAGACCACGGGAAGGAATGTGTACACAAATTTCATTGAAAAGAGGCCAATTTTTTAAAAGTGCACGATAACACTCCTCATCGATCCGCGCAGCCCTCCAGCGGGGCCCTAATATCTTCATTTGTGTGGTATTCCTGTTAGGTATTACTGCAGTTAACTTCTAGGGGTGGTCTCCATTTGAGGTGTCACACACCAACTCATGCCAGACAGGGAACGCTGTTGTAGGCAAGCCAGAGTCATTTCTCTTGGGGTGAGTACAGCGATTCATACTGGTCCTTAGCTTCCATAAATCACGGTAATTTTGCAGTTCTGCTCAACTCTCCACCCTTAGCTTTTGTCCACCCTTTCACCGATGTGTGCGAAGCATATTCTGTTTCAGACACTGTGAGGCTCATTTCATCTGGTGCTTCCCTGCGTTTTCCCATTCCAGTACGCCAGTGTTGTCACAAATGGAGAGCATTACATGACTTCTAAGGACTTCGTCATTCATTTTTTACGACTCATCGAAGAGCAGAATAACAACCAGATCTCTGTCAATTGTTTAGCTCGCGCTGCGGATACAACCAAAGATGGGTAAGTTCCTCTCTGTCCAACTCCCTGGTCGTTTTTCTTCGCGATATAACAACCGCTGACTATCAGGCGCTTTCTATCGGTTCTCATTTTCTCGCCCACAGCTATCCGAAACCTCACAAAAGTCCATAAGTTTTGGTAACGCTAATTAATCGGTGAATTTTTGGGAACAAAATGATTGAAATGGTGAGCAGGAAATTACCATAAGAACAAACGGCGCGTGATTTGCAATCAGTTTGGTGACCACTTTCCCTTATCGACTGAACATCGTACGTGTATAATGTTTATCCATGGATTACTGTCTCTTTCTGGTACCATATCCAGAAAAATCGATTTTCGTCGTACAATTGCTTTTTTAGAGCGCATCAAAAGTTTTCATGATTTCGAGTTTGGAACTGTTTAACGATACCTCTACGGTGAGATTTTCAATAATCATACATTAATGTCATTATAAACGCTGCATAAAAAGGGTATCCAGGATTCTACAGAACTGCTTTGAAATAGAATGTCACCTATGGCGCGTAGCTCTCATTCCCCTATTCTTATCTTCAGTGAATGAAACTGTGACATCTGGAAGCGGCGCACAGCTTGTGGCTGCAAAACCGAACTGAGCTCTTCACCATTACGATAACCGTTTTTCTGTCCCCATAATTTTTCCTTTCGAAATGAATGGAGACCCCTAATGAAGACTACTTCCAAACGTAGACCGCTCAGCTACGCGGCACTTACCTTTTTCCTTTCGAAATGAATGGAGACCCCTAATGAAGACTACTTCCAAACGTATACCGCTCAGCTACGCGGCACTTTCCTACCAATCAGAGCATGCAGATTGTCTCTGACACAAGACAATGGTTCAGACTCGCCACTAATGACTGTTCGCTGTGCAATGGCCATTTTCCTCACGCTTCACTATATCTGGGGAACTTACCACTTGGAACTGTAGTTTCAGATCAAAAATGGGGTTAGCCGTCATCGTAGCAGCCAGCAACACCAGCTTTGACAATGACGTTTCACAGAGCTTGTTTTACAAACCGTTAAATGGGGAGCGAAGAAAGAGACGCCATTGATGGAGCCGGTCTACCATAATCATCCCGAGGGTCCCGTACCTCCAAACAGTGGCCCAACCAGTCAACAGTCAACCTGACAACACAAACGTCATTGCTGTCACAAAGCAACCTCTCCGGTCATTCACGGAGATGACCACAGATTCCAGTTATCCAACTATTTATGATAAAATGATCGATGACATTGTCTCTGGCCATTATTGCCGGAATTCTTTCGTTACGTATCATCCAAAACGCTCGGGAACTACTTAACACCGGGGGCTAATGGCATCTCGTTGTGATCAGCTGAGGGGTACCGTTGTCTCACGTTTTTCAAAGTCTGACCGTATTCAATCTTATTTGGTCTCTGCTGTGATTGATCGACTTCCGCTTCTTATTGGGTGTTCGTAGAGGTTTTTGTGTAAATTTTTCAGGCCTCTAACACCAATACCAGTGATACCATCCTTTATTTTAGAGGTTTGGTGAAAAATCGATAGTTTATTGCTGGGCAACGTTTCGTCCCACCAACACTCAATTAAATGCACTTTTTATGGATTTCCCGGGAATCCTCTCTGACCGAAAGCTACCGTCCTTTGGTGTAATAAATAGGTCACAACATTTTGAGGTCAAAATGTGGCCGTTGGTTTGCTTGCTGATCTGGGTCACATGGTTGCAAGCGTTTGGTCACCAATCCAGGTGGCACTATCCGTGTTTCAAGATTGGAAGTGCGCTGTTTTTGCGTCTCCATGGATCGACATGAAGTTCATTCACCCAAACGTTGACCGATCACCAGTCATTGGAATGAGCACTCCTATTGGCTTGTTGGATGACGTTTCTTCTGTCTGATGAGAATGTGCGTAGCCTTGAGACTGGACCTCTCCGGTCCCGCGGTCGTCAATTTTGTCCGTTTGCCTCTACGGTCAGCCCCATGTTCTCTGGTCCCTGAGTCTGATAATCGACGCTGACACAGTGTCACCATTGTTTTAGTAGTTCCTTACTCGTAGCGCTGCCATTTGATTGAATCATTTACGGGGTACCATGCTTCTGGAAACTCCCCTCTGTGTCTTGTACTTCTGCGTGCCACAACTTTCACGTTTTCAAAATTAAACTTGTGTCCTTCCTGATCTTCTTGTACGGAACTAAGAGATAGTGAGTCATGTCTTTTGATAGCTGCGTTGAGTTCTTCTACCCGTGCGGAGTTTTCTTCCAGTATGTCAGCACGATATGTGCTGCAGTTATGCGCAGTTGATTCGGTACATGACGTTTCTTGTGCCTTCATTGGTGTTGTCTTTTGATCTCGAGAGATGAGTTTGGTTTATGAACTACTAAGGTGGCTCGAGTGGTTAGAGCGCGAATTTACTGATC